TGAGATTCGGTTTCTTCACTTGTGAGATGGGGATATTGGTGCCAACCTAATAGCGTTGTTATGTGGACCAACTGAGATAATACATGCAAAGCACTTGGCATGAAGCCTGGCTTGTGATAAGAACCAAATAAGAGTGGCTATTGTTGCTGTGATTGTTACCACCCGCAGGAATCTCTTCACTGACCGCGGGATGGGGTGGAAATTTCTCAGCCTTGTATCCATGGCCCTCCATCATCAGACCCAACCTGCATTTCCAGCCTTCAGCCCCTACCCCGTAGCCAGGCTGAATTACAATGTCCCCAATTCAGTATGCTGCACTACCAGTACTGCATTTCTGCTCTGCCTGCTGGGGGGACCCTCCACCATCCTCCCCCTTGCTCCAAAAGAACACTTTTTTAAAAAATATTTTTCAAATATTCTTCAATGCCCAGCTCAAAGGTTACTTCCCCTAGTTTTTGGAGGGCTTTTGTTTGTTCGTTTTCTTTTGGCCGCGCAGCACAGCATGTGGGATCTTAGTTCCCTGACCAGGGATGAACCCACGCCCCCTGCAGTGGAAGCGCAGAGTCTTCACCACTGGACCGCCAGAGAAGTCCCTCCCCTAGTTTTTTTTTACCCTGACTCCAAAAGAATTTCTCCCTTCTGCCGAATCTAAATGCACCTTTTCTAGTTGTATCCCGCGCTTTCTACCTATGCACTTCCTTTAACTGCAGCTGGATCAGAAGCTCCTTGAAGGCATTCTGCACCGCACTTAACATAATGCCTCAGGCAGTCAGTATTTCTCAAACTTCACTCTGCATTTGAATCCTATGGGGGTGGGCGGGGGGGGGGGGGTCTTGTTAAAATGCATATTCTGGGGCTTCCCTGGTGGCGCAGTGGTTGAGAGTCCGCCTGCCGATGCAGGGGACACGGGTTCGTGCCCCGGTCCGGGAAGATCCCACATGCCGCGGAGCGGTTGGGCCTGTCAGCCATGGCCACTGAGCCTGCGCGTCCAGAGCCTGTGCTCCGCAACGGGAGAGGCCGCAGCAGTGAGAGGCCGGCGTACCGCAAAAAATAAATAAATAAATAAAAATAAAAATGCATATTCTGATTCATTGGCTCTGGGGTGGGCTGAGATTCTGCTTTCTCACAAGCCCAAGTGGTGCTAATGCTTTTGGTCCAAGGACCACACTCTGAGCAGCAGAAGGGTGTGGTAAATGTATGGGAAATCCGTATCATTCACTCAGTAAGAAGTGTCTACGCAGGACCAGTTCACGGGCTAGGCCCTGACACCTTAAAATGTAGAAGGTTTTTTGGTGTGTTTGTTTTATTAAGGTTTTGTTTTTTTACTTTATCCTTTTGAATATGTACACATGGTAAAAAGAATTTTTTTCATAAAATCCAAAAGGGCACAGAGTGCGAGTACGTCAGTCCCCAGAGGTGATCACTGTTACTTCCTGAGTTTTACTCTAGAGATACTTTATGCATATAAGAGCATATATTTGCACCATTTTTTTTCTAATATACTATTCACACTGCTCTGCCCCCTTTTTTTTTTTCATTCTACTATATCTTCGAGATTGTTCCATATTTCAACACATATCTCTACATCCTATTTAATGAGTGGCATAATGACCACACAGAATGCATTGGTTGTTTTTATAAAGTGTAGAGTGAAGTATGGCTACTTCTTGGCTTCTTTCTCATCCTACACATTCCCCAGAGAGAACAGGTATCTTGTCTTCTGTTCTTTGAATCCTCTGAATTATCTCACCCATGTTGGTACATTTTTGTCAGTTTCATTTGATCTAGAGTGCATCCGTTACCCACTTACACAAGCATGTCTGCAAGTTCTTTTCCTCCAGATTCCGGTCTTCCTAGACTCCAGCTGTTTCTTTACTCTGCATCCCCCCAGCACTCACAAATTACTCAAAGCCATTTTCTTGTTTTGGTCACATATTGGTGTGGAACGCTGCATACATAAGTATGTATAAAATGTGTATTGGCGGGGTTCAGGACACCCTACCCCAAAATATGGTGCCTCAGCATATTGAATATTTCAAGCTGAAGGAATTCGAGAAAATAGGTGCAGGAAGGACTCACTGACGTTCCCTAGAAGCAAGTCATAAGACCCTCATGTGAGAAGTGCCCTCCCTCTACCCAGGGGAAAGGATCATCCTTGTCTCGAAGATAGAGGGACCCCCCAAGAGGAATCTTAGTGAACACACCTTGCTAAGTTTCCCCAGTTTCCTACACTGAGCTCATATCCCTTTTGTCCTGTCACGTTTTCCCATGACTTCCCACTCTCCATCAAAGCTAGCACAAGGGCTTCCCTGGTGGCGCAGTGGTTGGGAGTCCGCCTGCCGATGCAGGGGGCGTGGGTTTGTGCCCCGGTCCAGGGGGGGGATCCCGTGTGCCGCGGAGCGGCTGCGCTCGCGCGTCCGGAGCCTGTGCTCCGCAACGGGAGAGGCCACAGCGCTGAGAGGCCCGAGTACCGAAAAAAAAAAAAAAAAAAAAACTAGCACAAAAACATACAGGTTTGACTGCTTCTTCGGGTCTTCATTTACTTACGATTGCTCCCATGTCACGTAAGACTTATACTAGATAAATTTATATGCTTTTCTCCTGTTAACCTGTCTTTCGTCACAGAGACCGAGCCAAGAACCTCGAAGGGTAGAAGGAAAAGATATTTTTTCCTCCCCTCTGATATGTTTAAGGAAAAAATTAAAACATTAATAATAGAAGCCTTCTGTCACTTCCATCCGCCTCCCTGTGCCCCTTCCCTGTCACATGATGGTCTCTCCACCTACGAGGTAACCACTATCCTGAATTTTGCATTAATCATTCTCTTGCTTTCCTTTCTTGGTGGTTCTCCAGCCGTTAGCCTCACCTAGAGAGCTTGTTAAGACATGGACTGCTGGGCCCCGCGCCCAGCTTCTGATTTAGTAGATCTGGGGTAGAGCCCAAGAATTTCTGCTTCTCGGAAATTCTCCGGTCGTTCTGTTGCTGCTGATGCCAGGACTACACTTTGAGAACTGCTTTATCTCAAAGGTACTCTTGCCTTCTCTGTGATGACTTGTGTCCTCCCCTAAAACCTAGCCACTCAATAAATGTAGCTTAAGGACTTCCCCTCCTTCTTCCTCTACTCCATTTCCTATCACCCAGTTTATGAGCACTCAGTCTTTGCAAAATATTTTAATTGATTGTGACATTTGACCACTTTCCATTTTTTTCTTTTCCATTAATGAGCTCATTTATAAGTTGCTTCTCATTAGTGTGTGTGTGTCTCTTGTTGTAAGTTAACTAGAAGGACGGGTATAAACAACATTTACATGTCTTATTCATCTAGACTTTAAGCTCCTTGAAAGCTGGAACCAAGTGAAGGGATTCAGAACATGCCACCCCAAAATATTCTTCTTTAATTATTGATTACTGATCATTTTGAGCTGAAGACACTTGTGAAACAGCAGATACAGGAAGGGCTCTCCCCCTTTCTATCTAAGAGCAGGATGTAAATTTTTCCTTGAGAAAGGTGCCCTCCCTGTACCAGGAAGAGAAGGACATTCTTATCATCAGAGACTGGGAGTTGACTCCGGTCTGTATAAGCAAACTTACTAAAATAACCCTTATCTTCCATTAGTTTCCCTCACATACTTCCTAGTCACTGAGCCACGATTTATTGCCCCTAGTCCAAGGGCCTTTGCTTTGTCACATCCCCACAATTTATCATTCTTTTTGTAAAAAGGTATGCACCTTACAGGCTTTTGGACCTAACAACTTCTTTGGGTCTCCATTTTCCTTCTGTGAAGACACCTGTGTATATGTAAAAAAAAAAAAAAAATTAAATTTGTTTGCTTTTCTCCTGTTAATCTGTCTCATGTCAGTTTAATTATTAGGCCAGCTGCAGCATTTAAGAGGGTAGAAGGAAGTTTTTCCTCCCCCTACACAAGTTTAATTTCCCTATGTAGTCTACCACTTCAAGTAAGCTACAGGCCATAATTTGCAAATTCAGTTGCTTGTAAGAGCCAAAAGACAATTAAATAAATGAAACTTGACAAGTGGAACTTTGCTGATCTGGAGACCACGTCCTAGGTAAAGAGGGCAGCTATTACTTGGATTTAAGCCAATCGCGGGTCCCTTGTTTTCTCATTTTCCCAGTTTTCAAGAGAAACCAGAAATAATCCCAACTAATTCAACATTTTAAGTACACAGAGCAGGCACACAGAGTACACAGATTCCATACAGAGTACACCTGCAGGAACTGAAACTGAATCCATTCCACATTTCTAGACCTTTTCAGCAAATGGATGGGTGGATGGATGGATGGATGGATGGATGGATTGGTGAGTGAGTGAGTGAGTGAGTGAATAATGAGTGGTAGCTCTGGGGGAGGGGAGCGGTTAGTGGAGAAAACAAGCAATTGTTGAGCACCTACTCTATGCCTGGCCCTGTGCAAAGGGCTGTATATACCTTATCTCATTTGACTTTCATAACAAAACTTCAAGGTAGTTATTATCATTCTTGTTTATTTCCACACTCATTTCACAGATAAAGAAAGGAGGCTTAGAAAGACCCAGGGTCACACCACCAGTTTTCTTTATTTATAACCTACTTAATTTTAAAAACAGGATTTCAGATGAACTCTTATGATTTAAGCTGGGTCCTGAGCCTTGGATTCCAGATAGCTCTGTTATACCGAATTGCCACCATCAGAGGAGTCAGGTTCCCAGAAGGCACGTCGGGGAGGGTGCCAGGAGTTCAGGGGGCAGGATTGCTTCCTTGGGGATGTTACCAAACCACTCACAGCTTCATGCTTCTCAAGGATATCAACTAGTACTAAGGTGCTAAGACACAAGGGGTCTCTTGCCGGCTTGATATACCTGCCCTTCCCACTTTCTCCTGTCTCACTACTTCCTACCCTCTCAGAAGTCAAGATTTCTGCCTATCAGCCTTGGAGCTCACTCCATCTTAATTCCTTTCTAGAGCCCAGTAGGATAAGGGCAGAGATGCAGATACGGGAGCCGTTTGTTTGGAAAACATTTTATTGGAGTTACTGAGGCAGCAAAGAGTGATCATAGATAAGATGGTGATCAGATCCCACACTGGCCCCCTCTTTCAGTGGTATCAGCAGTGCTGGGTCTCGAAGGGGCTGGTCATTGGGCATCCGCAGCTTTACCCATCATTCCTCTCAGCTGTGGGGAGAGAGGGTACGGTCAGTTTGGAGACCCTTGGGGGCGGGGAGCCAGAGTCCTAAGAAAGCCCAGGATAGGGTGGCGCCCTGGTGGAAAGGAATCTCTGCCCCAGTCTAAGCTCCTGTTCTCCTCTGAGTTATAGTAGTTGCGATTTCCCTTAGCTTTGTTTTTCTTAATCTTTATTGGAGTATAGTTGATTTACAATGTTGTGTTAGTTTCAGCAAAGTGAATCTGTTATACATATACATATACCCACTCTTTTTTAGATTCTTTTCCCATATAGGCCATTACAGAGTATTGAGTAGAGTTCCCTGTGCTCTACAGTAGGTCTGTATTAGTTATCTATTTTATATATAGTAGTGAGTATGTATATGTCAATCCCAATCTTCCAATTTATCCCTCCGCACCTTTACCCCCACCCCAGGTAACCATAAGTTTATTTTCTACATCTGTAACTCTATTTCTGTTTTGTAGGTAAGTTCACTTGTAGCCTTTTCTTAGATCCCACATATAAGTGATATCATATGATATATGTGTTTCTCTGTGTGATTTACTTAGCTTTGATCAGAAGAAGCTTTATCCTCCTTTCACTTTCCCCACTCTCCCACTGAGATCCTCTGCTTTTTCCCTCACCCCCAGCCTCCTTTCTCTCCTAATGCCCACTGCCTCTTACCTTAGGAAAAGCATCCCAGTTGACGAAAGGAAGTCTCCTTTTGACAGACTAAAACAGAAAAAGAGAATGAGAGTGATGTGTTACAGGTCAGGTGAGCATGGATCAGTAAGCGCTTGCTGAAGACTCTGTAGCGGTGACGGTGTCATTGTTTTATAATTACAGTAAGCATTAATATTTCCTGAGCACTTCTTCTGTGCCTGCCTTATACTGACTGCTTTATGGGCATGATTTCATTTGGTCTTCACAGCAGTCTTTTTTTTTTTTTTTTTTT